CAACAATCAACACTTACAGAAGCAGTTTTTAGGAAATCAAACACCATATTACATTGGGCAGATTGGCTGCAAAGGACCTCTTTACAGTGTTAAAGAGTAAAGATGCTACTTTACGGATTGAGATTTGCCTGCCTCAAGCCATGCATTTTTAGTCCAGTTATCTGCATGTGAAAGGTAGACAAAGGAAGAATGAAGAAGAATTGATACATAGAATAAATGTTTCTGTCTTGAAAGAAGTCAAGTCAGAATGTTCCTTGAAAGCGAGGATGGAAAGTCTTTGCCTCACGTACTTTGTCCATGTATATCAAAGGGACCAGTTCCATGAAAAGGGCATCAAGCTTAGTAAAGTGGAGGGTTATAAAAAAGCAGGAAGACCACCAAGATGGATTGACACAGTGGCTGCCGAAATGAACTCAAATATCCTAATTGTGAGGATGGCGTAGAATCAAGCAGTGTTTTCATTTCTGTCATTTTTTCTCCTAATGTATAGTTGTGCATTTAAAGTTTTTCTTTATAAAAAGTGTAGCAAATTGTGACCCATCAGCTTGGTAATTGGTGTTTTGTAAGCTTTTCTTTTTTGCTATTTATACAAAATAGAATTTAAAAATTTTTAAATGTTTGCATATGCATGTTTAATAAAGCTCTGAATGTAGATAGAACTTTTCTTTATGCTGCAGAACAGAAGGATTTCACTCATGAATCACTTGACATGATCTATTTGGGTAGAAAAACTAATGCTAAAGGTTTATTTGTTTAGGGAATACCTGAGTATAGCTTCATACATTAGAAGAGGCGCTGCATTGATGGTATCAGGAGTCTTGCTTCTGTTACTTAAGGGGCCTGGACTAGAATCTCCCACAATGCCTTTTACCTCTAACATCCCTGATGTAATGGCAGTACAGGGTTTGATAGTTTTACTTTTTAATCCCCATTGCCTTTGTCTTTCAGCATTAAACTGCAAAGATGTCCCTCTATGATGACCTGGGAGTTGAGACCAGTGATTCAAAAACAGAAGGCTGGTCCAAAAATTTCAAACTTCTTCAGTCTCAGCTTCAGGTGAAGAAAGCAGCTCTCACTCAAGCTAAGGTAAACCTTGGGTGTGAGAGTAGAAGTCTGCAGGATGGGTTTCTTGTCAGGACTACAAATTATTTGGTTTTAGCTTGCCTGCCTTCCTTTTTACTAAATGTACAGGGTTAAACATTTGTATGGGGAAAGACTGGGTAGAGGGAATGAAGATTTTAAGGTCAGTTTGCACCTCCTAACTTCTGGGATTAAAAATCTTCCAGGGAACTCCTAGCAGTGTTACTAATTTTCAAATTTCAATATGCTGAAAATTTCCTGAGAGTTTGTCTACCTTTTCTTGCTTTGCTCTTAAATTTCTTAAAAATGTTTTAAATTTCAATGTTGACGCTATTTCATGTGTTAGTTTTATTCATGAAGGCCTAAGTTTTTCTTTTTTAAAATGACTATCCTGGGAACAATACTAATATTCATATAAACTCACTTGGACCTTTTAGTAGACACAACTAGTGGACAGTGTTAGACTGTTCATTGGAAGATAACAAAATAAATAAGCCCAAGTCAACAATATACTTGAGACATATTGTTAAGTGGAGACAGTTCTGACTCGACTCATAGGGTTTAAATCTTGTATAGGCTGTAAATCTGTGTTAGCAGAAAGGCTCATCTTTCTCCTAAGGAGCAGCTGGTGGGCTCTGATCGCTGACCTTCTAGTTAACAGTTCAGTGCTTACCCTAGAGACATATATTAACTGGATAATTAATTCTTAGTCTTCCATTTAAAGATGTCAGCATTGTGGATTACTTGCAGCTAACAATTGTTTCCAAATCCTAGATAATTTGTTCCTTCCTGACCAGTATACCCCTGACCTACCTTTTTTTCTATACTGTCAATGTTTAAATTGAAACTATAGTTTTAAAACCAGCTTATATAAAATAAAATTGAGAAAATAAATCCTTCTAAAATATAAATGTATTTAAAAAGCTAAATATAAGTAATTTATGGATTACATATGGATTGTATGTACTAAGAGTCTGTTGTTAATGGTCGGAATTATATTTTCATCTGAAACCTAGTCTCTTAGATATCTCTATCAGTATCTGCTTTAGTTTCATTTATGCTTCTCCGTTTACTTACCCAAATATATTCTGAAAAGAATATAGAAAATTATATTCTGAAAAGAATATAGACAATTATTAGAAAATCTCTTGAGATACATACTGATTTCTTTTTAATTGGTCAAAATAAAAGTTGCCCGTGAAATCTCTTCTGATAATTTTTTAACTTTTTTTTCAGAATGCTATGCAAGGTGAGTATTTTTGAGTGTAAGTGTGAAGGAAAATTAAGATACTGTGCATTGATTTCTATTAGACCATTAATTAAATTAATGAGTTAACTAGTTTACCCTTTACTCTGAGTAATAGTTGATCTAACGAAATCTGTAAAATATTTGATAGAGAAAACTACCTATAATTGTGGTTTTTGTCTTTATTTCCATTTAATGTATACATATTGATTACAAAATAATAACATGATAAATGAAGAAAACATTGAAGTTGTCAGCGACTTCATTTTACTCGGATCCACTATCAATACTCGTGGAAGCAGCAATTAAGGAAGCAAATGATGTATTGCATTAGACAGATCCTGCTGCACAAAGTGTTCAAGAGCAAAGATGGCAGTTAGGACTAAGGTACGCCTGACCCAAGCCATGGTATTTTCAATAGTGAATTCACAGTGAATACGGAAGACCTTAGAAGAGTTGATGTATTTGAATTATGGTGTTGGAGATGAATATTTAAAGTTCCATGGGCTGCCAGAAGAACAAACAAATCTGTGTTGGAAGAAACGCAGCCAGAATGCTCCTTAGAATCCAGGATGGTGAGACATCATCTCTCATACTTCAGACATATTATCAGGAGGGACCAGCCCCTGGAGAAGGACATCATGCTTGGTACTGTGGAGGAGGGTCCACGAAAAAGAGGAAAACCCCCAGCAAGATGGATTGGCACAGTGACAACAGCAATAGGCTCAAGCATAACAATGATTGTGAGGATGGCACAGGGTTGGGCAGTGTTTCATTCTGTTGTGCACAGTGTCACGACAAGTCTGAACTGACTTGACACAGCACGTAACAACAACAAAATTATAGAAAAGTATGTGATTTTGATCGTCCACTCACAGGCTTGTCCTTTAAACTTGGTATTCACTTCGTGAATGGTATAGTTGATATTTGGATTAAATTTTGTTTGCTTACATTTTCGTCCAAGAGATGGTCTATTTTCAAGCCTTTTGTAATAAAAATGAAAATTTGTAACCTTTTAAAGTACACAGAAATTTGTGTCTTTATGATCAAAAGTTCTAGTGAGCACCACCATAACCCTGTGATCAAATTTAGCATTGCTAGGTGACAGCTTGATACAAGGCCCCCTGTTGTGATGCAAAATGAAGTACATTGGCTTAGTTATCCAATTTCCTTGCCAAAAAGCTTTACATTGAATCTATCAAACCTTTACACGTAATGTCTAGTTTTCAGGAATTACAGGGTATAGACATACAAGTTAAACTGCACCACCAGGAACAATCAGACAGGTCTACAATGTGCAACATTTTATAAAACTGTGTGAGAGAAGAAAACAAAAGAGGAGATAAAGGTGGTGGTGGTGCAACAGAGAAGAGGGACTCTTCAAAATCAAGAGAGTACAGAGATTTTAAAACCAAATACGGGAAGTTTGGTATAATCCTAGTTGTTGTTTTTTTAATGTAATTACTATTTTTAAAACATTTTAGAGGACAACAAGGAAAACTGAATGAACTGGATAGGCAGTGCTGCCAGGGGTCATTGTTGTTTTTCTTAGGGATGATAATAGTGCTATAATTATGTGGGAGAGTGCCCATAGATTTTAGGAGATACGTACTGAAGTATTTAAGGGTGAAGTGTCATGATGTCTCCAACGATTTTTGAGTGGTTTAGCAAAAATATATGTGTAAGGTAAAATAAATAAGGTAAAATGCTTATGGTCAACTGGTGTATAAATAATAGTTTTTTTACTTAAAAATTTCTTGTAAGTTCATAGTAAAATGTGGGATGGGTACTTGAATTTTATATCCTGTTAGTGTTAAGTGCAGTTCAAACCTCTCCAGCCACTCCTCGGAAACCAACTTGACGTAACAAAAATTGTTAAGTGTTTTCAAGTTGGTTCCAACCCATAGTGACCCTGTATAGGATTTCTGAGGAGTAGTGGGTGGGTTTGAACTGCTGACTTTGTAATTAACAGTCCAGTGCTTATCCTACAATGCCACAACAGGACTCCTTTATATCCTGTTGTTGTTGTTAAGTTCTGTGGAGTCATTCCCAACTCATAATGACCTTGTATAGGGTTTCCCAAGGAGTGGTTGGTGGGTGTTAACTGCCAACATTGGGGTTAGCAATCTAGTGCTTATCCTAAAAGATCTTAATCCACAAGTATGTTTTATTGAGGACTTAAAAACATACACATCCCTTGTGAAAGAGCCATACAGATTTTCATGACTGTGGTAAAAAGGAAAATCCAATATATGTAAATTTAAATAGGCGGGACCAGTGTACTATGCACGTTTTATGAAAATGGAGGAAATCTGTGTTTTAAAAAAATAATTATATGGTTATACTAATAATTGCATTAAAAAGCTTTTTTAAGATTATGACTTTCTCATGCCTTAAAGGTTTGTTTAAGAGACCAAAATTATCTTTGTTACAAATGCTTTGAATTTTAATTTGAAGCATCAATAAGTTTTTCTTCTTTTTTTTTTTAATTGTTTTAGAGCCAAAGGACAAAGCAAAGTACAGTCCTTGCCCCAGTCATTGACCTGAAACGAGGTGGCTCTTCAGACGACCGGCAAATTGTGGACACACCACCTCACGTGGCAGCTGGACTAAAGGTAATAAGCCATGGGACAGGAAACAGCGTGTGCTTAACTTTGTCTTTGGTTCTCTCTTCCACTTTCTATAGATTTTATTTTATGCATATGTAACCTAATTTTTGGTCTTACCTACTTTAAAACATCTATTTAAAATAAATAAGCTCATCATAGGAAAAACAAAAAACAAAACAGAAGAAAGTATATAAAAACAAATGACCTTTAGTCTTACCCTCCAGAAACTAAAAATTTTATATTTTGGAATATCTTTTCATTCTGTATCTACTCCACCTTCTATTCTCTATCTGTCTGACTTTTCTCTCTTAATATATTGTGGTTTCCTGTCCTGGTTTCCAGTTTTTGCTGTCTTTAACAATGTTAGTGCTTGTTGTCTTACTAGTCATTAAAATAAAGAGAGGAGTTAAAGCCATTTTTAGTACCTTAACCATTGTTACCATCCACCCGCCTGTCCATTTGTCATATTGTGCTGGCTTGTATGTTGCTATGATGCTGGAAGCTATGTCACTGGCATTTCATATACCATCAGGGTCCTCACGGTGGACGGGTTTCAGCAGAGCTTCCAGGTCAAGACTAGAAAGAAGGTTGGTCTGGCGGTTTACTCTCAGAAATTAGCCAGCGACAACTTATGGTGGACCACAGAACATTGTTTCTTCACTAATGATCATGAGTGTGGTGTAGACACACGTAACCTTTTGTTCTGTTGTCTACACATTACCTTGAATCAGTCGACTTTATATAGTAACAACAATAAACTCTATTATAATGGTCTCAAATAAGCCTTAAAAAACAAACAGACATGGCCAACTCTATAAACTTTGGTTAATGAAGATGAGATGGTTCTAGCAAACAGATCATAACCACAGTTAAAACTAGGCAAAATGAAGTATGGGGAAACCCGTGAGAATGAGAACTCAATGTAGCCGCCTTTTTCCAGGCCTTGGAAGTTTTCTGTCATAACAGAGTGCAGTCTTACCACTTTTCTATCGCTCTCTGTTAATGGAAAATATTTGCATTTTCCTTCTATGCCAGAAACCCTTCCAGCTTTCTTAGGTTTTACTGTATTAGCATTCTACGGATTCCACTCTCCTGTCTGTTAGAAATGACTGGAGTCAGTCAGACACAGTCCCAAATGCATGCCCCTCCCTTTCTACATTCTTTCATCTTTGTCTCTTCTATATAGGAACCCTCCCCACCCTGCCTTCCTTATGAGACAGGTTCTAGCTTAGACCATCAGTTCTCAGTGGTGCTCTGCATGCTTGCAGTCTGTCAAGAGGAAAAGGCACCCCACAGTCAGGAATATTTTCTGATTTCTAATCAGGTAAAAAAAAATCCCTCTCAAAATTTGCAACCTGATTTTTTTCTCACTACATTGAATCAAAGGAGCTCTGGTAGCATAGTGATTACGAATCGGGCTGCGAACCTTAAGGCCAGCAGTTCAAAACTACCAGCCACTCTGTGGGAGAAAGATGAGGCGTTCTGCTCCCGTAAAGATTTACAGCCTCGGAAACCCTGTACAGGGTCACTATGGGTCGGAACCGACTCGACGGCACTTAACAACAACAACATTGAATCAAAAGCTGGTGAATCATGTTCTATTTGACTCTTGTACCTATTGGAGTCCTCATATGGTTCCATAGAATAAGCACTGGACTACAAGGTTGGTTTGAACCACAAGGTTAACATTTCAAACTCAACCAGCTGCTCCTAGGAAACCCTAACTGACTCCATGGCTCTTAACATCACCACCACCTTTAGTATTGTTCTTTTTTTAACCCTACTTAATTGGTAAGTACTTTTCCTTCTTGTTCATACTTTGCATACTTAATTGCAAACTAGTCCATTGAGTAAATATGTTGTAAATTAAGCATTCCCTAACTGTAGAACCATCTAGATCTGCTTTTACATTGCCATTATTAGTAGCACCTCAATGAACATTTCTACAGAGAATTCCCTATGTATGATTTCCTTAGGATGGCTTTCCTAAAGTGGCATTAAGAGATTATGTTTTGGCCAGCTTGTTTCCAGCTAGTAATAGTCTACAGTATTGCCTATAATATATGTCTTAACTGTATCTACTTTCCCCAGCATTGAGGCTTTGACATTTTGAAATTTATTGAATTGACCAGACTTTTTTTTCAATTCTTTATAGCCTTTATAATAGCATGGTTTTTTATTAGCATTAACAGGTTTATATGCTAAAAATTGTATCTCTTCACAGTTTGTAATGACAAAGAATTAACCTTCATACTGACAATATGTTCTTTTTTGTCACACACTTTGTGATAACTTGTTTTTGTTTATGTGCCATCGAGTTGATTGCAACTTGGATAGAATTCCCTAAGGCTGTAAATCTTTGTAGGAGCAGAAGACCTCATCATTCTTCTACAGACCGACTGGTAGGCTCAAACTGCCAACCTTGTGATTAGCAGTCCAGTGCTTATATTGTTCTTAAGTGCCGTCAAGTCGGTTCTGACTCATACAGGCAACCCTGTATAGGGTTTCCAACGAGCAGCTGGTGGGTTTGAACTGCTAACCGCCCTTGTGGTTCAAAGCAACCTTGTGGTCCAGTGCTAAATTGACTGGCTGATTGTTGGGTTCTATTCAGTGTTAGTAATAATTGAAAAAGAAGTCTTGTTTGGTGCCTTTCTATTTTTAAAATGTCTTTTATGTGAATACAGATTAGTAACTACTCTTTGGGAGTCCTGGGTTAAATATATTTGATTAAATTTTTCAATGACAGGGTGTAGGAGGTGATTGTAGTTGTTTTTCTAGTTGCCTTTGTTCATTGGATCATAGTGTTTCTTGCCTTTTAGCTATAATGGAATGAAGAGATTGTTTCACAGTGCAAAATGACGAACTGAATTGTTTAATGCAGAAATTGAACATACGCTGTCTTTGTCGTATCAGTTATGTGTTTACCTACAAAATACATTTTGCCTTTAATACTGTTTGTCAGTATACTTCCTGAAGTACTCCTGGTGTGGCGCTGTAGGATCAGCACTGGACTGCGAACCACTAAGTTGCAGTTCAAACCCACCAACTGCTCCTTGTAAACGCTGTACAGAGTCACTATAGGTCGGAATTGACTCATTGGCACTTAACAATGCTTTCTGATAGGACCTGGGCACTCAAGGACACTAAGTTTCTGTATTTGTTCAGAGATGTATGACAGGACTTCAAAAAGATTGTTAAAAAAAAAAATGGAGTTGAAACATAAAAGTAATTTTTTCCATGAAGTTTTTGAACCCCCTAGTATGTAGATCAGTTAGGTCATCTTATTCTTATAGATAACAAAGGAAAGTTTGCTAAGAAAACGAACAGGGAAAAAAAAAAGTTAAACAAAACACATGGTAGTTTAGAAATGTTAGACCAAGAAATGCTTCAGGACTTACCAGAACTGTACATAGATCAGGTCTGTTGACCTAGAATAAAGCCCCACATGTAGTCACATATTTTTTAGTCAGCTTACTCTGTCTCTCTTTTGTTTTTGTAGAGTCTTTATTAAGACTACTTCTTTTGTTGTTGTTGTTGAACAAAATGTTTTCATTATACATATGCAGAAAGTGGTTTCAATAATTGGATATTTTAATAATAAACAGAATTAAAAAATTACTTCAAAAAAACACTAGAGCTTTAAGAAATTCAGGCTTATATTTAATTTTCTATTTTATTCCAGGAGATGGAAAGTAATCTAGAGAAAAAAAGGAACAAGCTTCAACTTTCCATTTGATTGTTTCATTAGACAAATATATTGAGCATCACTGTGAACAACGTTGAAGTAGATGCTGAGGGTACAACCATGCACAAAACATAGCTGGTTCCTGCCCTCTGGGCTGATAGGCTAGGACAGAGGTCAGCAAGCCTTTCACTGCACAGCAGAAAAGGCTATGTGGGCTAGGGCAAAGAGGCTGATGCTCGTTATCCCTTCCATAGCGACGGTGCCATGATCCTCGAAAAGCAGTAGTCCTACAAAAACTAAGGCTGGTGGAGCCTTTTTTGCTGCCAACTGGCGGTTGTTCGTGTAGCACAGACAGGTGACGTCAAGGCTACTTCTCTTAAAGAGTAGCCCCAGTTTCTAAATATTCACAAGAGAAAATGCAAACTGGTATCTTCTGAACGTGATGTTGTTATTAAGTGCTGCTGCATCAGTTCTGACCCCTAGCCACCCTGTATAGGGTTTCTGAAGAACAACTTGCTAGTCAAACCAACTTTGCAGTCCAGCATATTAACCCAGAGCCCCACACCAGCACTCTGAACTTGATGTTAGTGGACCTTTAAAAATGAATGGTGATGTGAGGGCTGTTCTGTCTACCTATGCCAGACTTAGTGCCAACATACAGCCTTGTTTGGAAGTGCTCCAAAGGATTTTAAAAAGACTAAGAGGTTGTTTTAAAAATCTAATTCTATTATCTCAGTGTAGTCAAAATCTAAAGTTAATCCATTAACTGTTCTGTCCGTTTGTCGTGCTTTGGTAGCCTGCATCTTAACTGTGATGGTGGAAGCTATGCCACTGGTATTTGAAATACCAGCAAGCTCACCCATTGTGGACTGGTTTCAGTAGAGCTCCAGAATAAGACACACTAGGAATAGGGAGGGGCAGATTGCTTCTGAATGTTCAGCCACTGAAAACCTTATTTTATGAATAGTGCTGGAACATTGGCAGATAAAGTGCAGGAAAATGAGCCCCTCATGCTGGGCTGTTATAGAATACAGTGTCAGATATTTTAATGAAATGTGCATTTCTAACCTGGAGTTCGAAAACCTTAAGGGAAGAAAATGCTTAGCATTTCTCAAGCTGGAAGAACTGAAGAAAAAATTCAAACCTCAACTTGCAATATGAGAAGATTCTGTGGGCAAAATAATGATGCAGAATACATCAAAAGAAGATGGAAGGTATACAAAGAGTCACTGTACCAGAAGAAATTATTTGATGTTCAACCATTTCA